CATACTCTAAACCATCCAACATACACTGAACCACACAACATACACTGAACCATCCAACATACACTGTACCATACAGCATACACTGAACCATACAGCATACACTGTACCATACAACATACACTGAACCACACAACATACACTGAACCATACAGCATACACTGTACCATACAACATACACTGAACCATCCAACATACACTGAACCACAAAACATACACTGTACCATACAACATACACTGTACCATACAACATACACTGTACCATACAACATACACTGAACCATACAACATACACTGAACCACACAACATACACTGAACCATACAACATACACTGAACCATACAATATACACTGAACCATACAACATACACTGAACCATCCAACATACACTGAACCATACAACATACACTGAACCATCCAACATACACTGAACCATACAACATACACTGAACTATACAACATACACTGTACCATACAACATACACTGTACCATACAACATACACTGAACCACACAACATACACTGAACTATACAACATACACTGAATTATACAACATACACTGAACTATACAACATACACTGAACCACACAACATACACTGAACTATACAACATACACTGAACCACACAACATACACTGAACTATACAACATACACTGAACTATACAACATACACTGAACTATACAACATACACTGAACTATACAACATACACTGAACTATACAACATACACTGAACTATACAACATACACTGAACCACACAACATACACTGAACTATACAACATACACTGTACCATACAACATACACTGTACCATACAACATACACTGTACCATACAACATACACTGAACCACACAACATACACTGAACTATACAACATACACTGTACCATACAACATACACTGTACCATACAACATACACTGTACCATACAACATACACTGTACCATACAACATACACTGTACCATACAACATACACTGAACCACACAACATACACTGAACTATACAACATACACTGTACCATACAACATACACTGTACCATACAACATACACTGTACCATACAACATACACTGAACCACACAACATACACTGAACTATACAACATACACTGTACCATACAACATACACTGTACCATACAACATACACTGTACCATACAACATACACTGTACCATACAACATACACTATACCATACAACATACACTGAACCACACAACATACACTGAACTATACAACATACACTGAACCATACAACATACACTGAACCATTCAACATACACTGAACTATACAACATACACTGAACCACACAACATACACTGAACTATACAACATACACTGAACTATACAACATACACTGAACTATACAACATACACTGAACCACACAACATACACTGAACTATACAACATACACTGAACCATACAACATACACTGAACTATACAACATACACTGAACTATACAACATACACTGTACCACACAACATACACTGTACCATACAACATACACTGAACCACACAACATACACTGAACTATACAACATACACTGAACTATACAACATACACTGAACTATACAACATACACTGAACCACACAACATACACTGAACTATACAACATACACTGAACCACACAACATACACTGAACTATACAACATACACTGTACCATACAACATACACTGTACCATACAACATACACTGTACCATACAACATACACTGAACCACACAACATACACTGTACCATACAACATACACTGTACCATACAACATACACTGTACCATACAACATACACTGTACCATACAACATACACTGTACCATACAACATACACTGAACCACACAACATACACTGAACTATACAACATACACTGAATTATACAACATACACTGAACTATACAACATACACTGAACCACACAACATACACTGAACTATACAACATACACTGAACCACACAACATACACTGAACTATACAACATACACTGAACTATACAACATACACTGAACTATACAACATACACTGAACCACACAACATACACTGAACTATACAACATACACTGAACCATACAACATACACTGAACTATACAACATACACTGAACTATACAACATACACTGTACCACACAACATACACTGTACCATACAACATACACTGAACCACACAACATACACTGAACTATACAACATACACTGAACTATACAACATACACTGAACTATACAACATACACTGAACTATACAACATACACTGAACTATACAACATACACTGAACCACACAACATACACTGAACTATACAACATACACTGAACCACACAACATACACTGAACTATACAACATACACTGAACTATACAACATACACTGAACTATACAACATACACTGAACTATACAACATACACTGAACTATACAACATACACTGAACTATACAACATACACTGAACCACACAACATACACTGAACTATACAACATACACTGTACCATACAACATACACTGTACCATACAACATACACTGTACCATACAACATACACTGAACCACACAACATACACTGAACTATACAACATACACTGTACCATACAACATACACTGTACCATACAACATACACTGTACCATACAACATACACTGTACCATACAACATACACTGTACCATACAACATACACTGAACCACACAACATACACTGAACTATACAACATACACTGTACCATACAACATACACTGTACCATACAACATACACTGTACCATACAACATACACTGAACCACACAACATACACTGAACTATACAACATACACTGTACCATACAACATACACTGTACCATACAACATACACTGTACCATACAACATACACTGTACCATACAACATACACTATACCATACAACATACACTGAACCACACAACATACACTGAACTATACAACATACACTGAACCATACAACATACACTGAACCATTCAACATACACTGAACTATACAACATACACTGAACCACACAACATACACTGAACTATACAACATACACTGAACTATACAACATACACTGAACTATACAACATACACTGAACCACTCAACATACACTGAACTATACAACATACACTGAACCATACAACATACACTGAACTATACAACATACACTGAACTATACAACATACACTGTACCATACAACATACACTGTACCATACAACATACACTGAACCACACAACATACACTGAACTATACAACATACACTGAACTATACAACATACACTGAACTATACAACATACACTGAACCATACAACATACACTGAACTATACAACATACACTGAACCATACAACATACACTGAACTATACAACATACACTGAACCATACAACATACACTGTACCATACAACATACACTGTACCATACAACATACACTGAACTATACAACATACACTGTACCATACAACATACACTGTACCATTCAACATACACTGTACCATACAACATACACTGTACCATACAACATACACTGTACCATACAACATACACTGAACCATTCAACATACACTGAACCATACAACATACACTGAACTATACAACATACACCGAACCATACAACATACACTGAACCACACAACATACACTGAACCATCCAACATACACCGAACCATACAACATACACTGAACCATACAACATACACTGAACTATACAACATACACTGAACCATACAACATACACTGAACCACACAACATACACTGAACTATACAACATACACTGAACCATACAACATACACTGAACTATACAACATACACTGAACTATACAACATACACTGTACCACACAACATACACTGTACCATACAACATACACTGAACCACACAACATACACTGAACTATACAACATACACTGAACTATACAACATACACTGAACTATACAACATACACTGAACTATACAACATACACTGAACTATACAACATACACTGAACCACACAACATACACTGAACTATACAACATACACTGAACTATACAACATACACTGAACTATACAACATACACTGAACTATACAACATACACTGAACTATACAACATGCACTGTACCATACAACATACACTGTACCATACAACATACACTGAACCACACAACATACACTGAACCACACAACATACACTGAACTATACAACATACACTGAACCACACAACATACACTGAACTATACAACATACACTGTATTATACAACATACACTGAACCATACAACATACACTGAACCACACAACATACACTGAACTATACAACATACACTGAACCATACAACATACACTGTACCATACAACATACACTGTACCATACAACATACACTGAACCATACAACATACACTGAACCATACAACATACACTGTACCATACAACATACACTGAACCATACAACATACACTGAACCATACAACATACACTGAACCATGCAACATACACTGTACCATACAACATACACTGAACCATACAACATACACTGTACCATACAACATACACTGAACCATACAACATACACTGTACCATACAACATACACTGAACCATACAACATACACTGTACCATACAACATACACTGAACCATACAACATACACTGAACCATACAACATACACTGAACAATACAACATACACTGAACCATACAACATACACTGAACCATACAACATACACTGAACCATACAACATACACTGAACCATACAACATACACTGAACCATACAACATACACTGAACCATACAACATACACTGAACCATACAACATACACTGAACCATACAACATACACTGTATCATACAACATACACAGCTGCTTCTGTGTACCAGTGAAAATATAAATCACATTCAACGTTTGCTGTCCTCTAAACATTCATCACAACCACATCATCCGTCATCCACCACATCATCCGTCATCCACCACAGCATCCGTCATCCATTCCGTCATCCATTACAGCATCCTGTCATCCATTACAGCATCCTGTCATCCATTACAGAATCCTGTCATCCATTACAGCATCCGTCATCCATTACAGCATCCTGTCATCCATTACAGCATCCTGTCATCCATTACAGCATCCGTCATCCATTACAGCACCCTGTCATCCATTACAGAATCCTGTCATCCATTACAGCATCCGTCATCCATTACAGCTTCCTGTCATCCATTACAGCATCCTGTCATCCATTACAGCATCCGTCATCCATTACAGCATCCTGTCATCCATTACAGCATCCTGTCATCCATTACAGCATCCGTCATCCATTACAGCATCCTGTCATCCATTACAGCATCCTGTCATCCATTACAGCATCCTGTCATCCATTACAGCATCCTGTCATCCATTACAGCATCCTGTCATCCATTACAGCATCCTGTCATCCATTACAGCATCCTGTCATCCATTACAGCATCCTGTCATCCATTACAGCATCCTGTCATCCATTACAGCATCCGTCATCCATTACAGCATCCTGTCATCCATTACAGCATCCTGTCATCCATTACAGCATCCGTCATCCATTACAGCATCCTGTCATCCATTACAGCATCCGTCATCCATTACAGCATCCTGTCATCCATTACAGCATCCGTCATCCACCACAACATCCTGTCATCCATTACAGCATCCGTCATCCATTACAGCATCCTGTCATCCATTACAGCATCCGTCATCCATTACAGCATCCGTCATCCATTACAGCATCCTGTCATCCATTACAGCATCCTGTCATCCATTACAGCATCCTGTCATCCATTACAGCATCCTGTCATCCATTACAGCATCCGTCATCCATTACAGCATCCTGTCATCCATTACAGCATCCGTCATCCACCACAACATCCTGTCATCCATTACAGCATCCGTCATCCATTACAGCATCCTGTCATCCATTACAGCATCCGTCATCCATTACAGCATCCTGTCATCCATTACAGCATCCTGTCATCCATTACAGCATCCGTCATCCATTACAGCATCCGTCATCCATTACAGCATCCTGTCATCCATTACAGCATCCGTCATCCATTACAGCATCCGTCATCCATTACAGCATCCTGTCATCCATTACAGCATCCTGTCATCCATTACAGCATCCGTCATCCATTACAGCATCCGTCATCCACCACAACATCCTGTCATCCATTACAGCATCCTGTCATCCATTACAGCATCCGTCATCCATTACAGCATCCGTCATCCACCACATCATCCTGTCATCCATTACAGCATCCGTCATCCATTACAGCATCCTGTCATCCATTACAGCATCCTGTCATCCATTACAGCATCCGTCATCCATTACAGCATCCGTCATCCATTACAGCATCCGTCATCCACCACAACATCCTGTCATCCATTACAGCATCCGTCATCCATTACAGCATCCTGTCATCCATTACAGCATCCTGTCATCCATTACAGCATCCTGTCATCCATTACAGCATCCGTCATCCACCACAACATCCTGTCATCCATTACAGCATCCGTCATCCATTACAGCATCCTGTCATCCATTACAGCATCCGTCATCCATTACAACATCCGTCATCCATTACAACATCCGTCATCCATTACAGCATCCGTCATCCATTACAGCATCCGTCATCCATTACAACATCCGTCATCCATTACAACATCCGTCATCCATTACAACATCCGTCATCCATTACAACATCCGTCATCCATTACAGCATCATGTCATCCATTACAGCATCCTGTCATCCAATCTGTCATTCGTCATCCAATCTGTCATTCGTCATCCAATCTGTCATCTGTCATCCAATATGTCATCCACGTGTCTACCCACCTTCCAGTGTGAAGAACAAAAACAGTGGGTGGTGGTTGTGGTAGTGGTGGTGGTTGTAGTAGTGGTTGTGGTAGTGGTATTGGTAGTGGTAGTAGTGATGGTGATGTTACCTACCTATCAGATCTTATCTGATAGGTAAGACCCATCAGATTGTAACCATACATCAAATCTTCCCTATCCTAATAATCACTATCTGTGTCGAGCCTTTCCTTAAGGCTGTGAGGATAGAGGTGGCTTCTACAACCTCTTCCCTCAGCCCATATCACCTGTTGACCACCGAACTAGGGTCCAGTATTTTCCTGATTTGTTGTTTATTTGCGTTTCAGCATCCACCAGCTTCCTCTGTGCTCCTAATTAAAAGATTTTATCTCGTCTGTCTTGTAAAGTTGTCTCAGCATCATGTGTTGATCTTATCCCCCCCCTCCTCTCTCGTCTGAGATTGCAAGATTCTGTTCCGTGGACGTTGGTCTGACAAAGAGAGCAGTTGGCTATCTTCGCTATCCTTGTTTTGGTTGTAATTGCCACTTTCAGATTTGCGAGTTTCTCATATACTTTCGATGATATCTTTTTCGCACGGCTCTGGTGTTTGTGTTATCTACACTTCGTTATCTCTGCGAGATTCGTGTAATTGCCTTTTTGTTATCGTATATTTTCCTCTGGTCTCCGTTCTTCCTTTCCCATCTCCATTGCTTTACACTTCTCAGGGTTTAACTTTAGCAACCATTTGTCTGGTCATTCTGGAGTTTATCTTTCCTGCAGCTCTCTTCATTCCTCTTCTGTTTTGACATTCTTCTTCATATGTGTTGCGCCGTCTGCAATCTTCACCACGTACGGGGGACAGTGTTCCTTCGGGTAGATCTTTCTCATTGATTAGGAACAGTCACGGTCCTGTAAAAGAACTTTTAGAACCTATTGCTTACGTAAATCCACTTTCTCTCTCTTGTTGACACTTTGTTTTCTTTCCATCAGGTATCTCTCTTACCTAATTCACCGTCTTACTTGTTATCCTAAATCTCTCTCTCTCTCTCTCTCTCTCTCTCTCTCTCTCTCTCTCTCTCTCTCTCTCTCTCTCTCTCTCTCTCTCTCTCTCTCTCTCTCTCTCTCTCTCTCTCTCTCTCTCTCTCTCTCTCTCTCTCTCTCTCTCTCTCTCTCTCTCTCTCTCTCTCTCTCTCTCTCTCTCTCTCTCTCTCTCTCTCTCTCTCTCTCTCTCTCTCTCTCTCTCTCTCTCTCTCTCTCTCTCTCTCTCTCTCTCTCTCTCTCTCTCTCTCTCTCTCTCTCTCTCTCTCTCTCTCTCTCTCTCACAACATGTAATATTACCAACAGCAAAACAAAATTAATCAAAAGCTCTGAAAACCAAAACTCCGATATCAGATTTCATGGAAATCGCGGAGCGTTGATAAAGTGGCCGATCTGTCATAAATGGTGGACCATTGAGCCTACTTCAAGCAGCCTACTCGTTGCACCTACTCACCTAGTTGGGTAACTGTCACAGACTGGCTATAGACACCCTGACACACACACACACACACACACACACACACACACACACACACACACACACACACACACACACACACACACACACACAGATGATTGACAGTTGAGAGGCGGGACCAAAGAGCCAGAGCTCAACCCCCGCAAGCACAAATAGGTGAGTACACATTTTTAGATGTTGCTGATGAGAATCAATGCAGTGATGATCTAGTTGTTTACATAAATGATGTTATCTCTAGTATAATGTTGTTTGATGACCAACCGACACATCACAAGATGAAGAATCCCACAATCAACTTGATGATGGTCCAAGATGGACCGAAACGTCGTCGTCTCCTCATCTTCTGGTGTGTGGTCTGGTCAACATATCCTCTGGTGAGTGGTCTGGTCAACATATCTTCTGGTGTGTGGTCTGGTCAACATATCTTCTGGTGTGTGGTCTGGTCAACATATCCTCTGGTGTGTGGTCTGGTCAACATATCCTCTGGTGTGTGGTCTGGTCAGCATATCCTCTGGTGTGTGGTCTGGTCAACATATCTCCTGGTGTGTGGTCTGGTCAGCATATCCTCTGGTGTGTGGTCTGGTCAACATATCTCCTGGTGTGTGGTCTGGTCAACATATCCTCTGGTGTGTGGTCTGGTCAACATATCTCCTGGTGTGTGGTTTGGTCAACATATCCTCTGGTGTGTGGTCTGGTCAACATATCTCCTGGTGTGTGGTCTGGTCAGCATATCCTCTGGTGTGTGGTCTGGTCAACATATCTCCTGGTGTGTGGTTTGGTCAACATATCCTCTGGTGTGTGGTCTGGTCAACATATCTCCTGGTGTGTGGTTTGGTCAACATATCCTCTGGTGTGTGGTCTGGTCAACATATCCTCTGGTGTGTGGTCTGGTCAACATATCTCCTGGTGTGTGGTCTGGTCAACATATCTCCTGGTGTGTGGTCTGGTCAGCATATCCTCTGGTGTGTGGTCTGGTCAACATATCCTCTGGTGTGTGGTCTGGTCAACATATCTCCTGGTGTGTGGTCTGGTCAGCATATCCTCTGGTGTGTGGTCTGGTCAACATATCCTCTGGTGTGTGGTCTGGTCAGCATATCCTCTGGTGTGTGGTCTGGTCAGCATATCCTCTGGTGTGTGGTCTGGTCAACATATCTCCTGGTGTGTGGTTTGGTCAACATATCCTCTGGTGTGTGGTCTGGTCAACATATCTCCTGGTGTGTGGTTTGGTCAACATTTCCTCTGGTGTGTGGTCTGGTCAGCATATCTCCTGGTGTGTGGTCTGGTCAGCATATCCTCTGGTGTGTGGTCTGGTCAACATATCCTCTGGTGTGTGGTGTGGTCAACATATCCTCTGGTGTGTGGTGTGGTCAACATATCTTCTGGTGTGTGGTCTGGTCAACATATCTCCTGGTGTGTGGTCTGGTCAACATATCCTCTGGTGTGTGGTCTGGTCAGCATATCCTCTGGTGTGTGGTGTGGTCAACATATCCTCTGGTGTGTGGTCTGGTCAACACATCTTCTGGTGTGTGGTCTGGTCAACATATCCTCTGGTGTGTGGTCTGGTCAACATATCCTCTGGTGTGTGGTCTGGTCAACATATCTTCTGGTGTGTGGTCTGGTCAATATATCTTCTGGTGTGTGGTCTGGTCAACATATCTTCTGGTGTGTGGTCTGGTCAATATATCTTCTGGTGTGTGGTCTGGTCAATATATTTTCTGGTGTGTGTTCTGGTCAACATATCTTCTGGTGTGTGGTCTGGTCAACATATCCTCTGGTGTGTGGTCTGGTCAACATATCCTCTGGTGTGTGGTCTGGTCAATATATCTCCTGGTGTGTGGTCTGGTCAACATATCTCCTGGTGAGTGGTCTGGTCAACATATCTCCTGGTGAGTGGTCTGGTCAACATATCTCCTGGTGAGTGGTCTGGTCAACATATCTCCTGGTGAGTGGTCTGGTCAACATATCTCCTGGTGAGTGGTCTGGTCAACATATCTTCTGGTGTGTGGTCTGGTCAACATATCCTCTGGTGTGTGGTCTGGTCAACATATCTTCTGGTGTGTGGTCTGGTCAACATATCTTCTGGTGTGTGGTCTGGTCAACATATCCTCTGGTGTGTGGTCTGGTCAACATATCCTCTGGTGTGTGGTCTGGTCAACATATCTTCTGGTGTGTGGTCTGGTCAACAAATCTTCTGGTGTGTGGTCTGGTCAACATATCTCCAGTTATTTTGACTCATCGTTTGCACCATCTAGTTCTTTTTATCCATTATTAAACGTCTTGAAAAATACGTTTTCGTCATATTATGAACGATGGGGCTGACAGTCCCCCAAAAACGTGTTAATGCACAAACAGCATTTATGCGTCCAATCAAGAAGATAACAGAGTTCTGTAAATGAACTCCCGACTTGGAGTTCTTCGATTTACACAATGTTGAAAAGAAAAAAATTATGCAAGAGAGAGAGAGACTGATAGCAGATTAAGGCAAGATCTGCAGCATGCTAAGGTACTGAAAGCCCTGGTTATGACCGCTGAGGCTAAGTGAAGATGCTGAGAGAGAGAAGAATCGTACCTACCTTCATACTGTGGGCTGCTATGAGTAACTACGGGCTCACCATAGCCCGTGCTACTTGGAACTTTTTGTTCCAGGTAGTGAATCTTAAACAACAACAACATGCTATGAGTCGGCATACATCATGAGATAATGTTGTATTTATCTACCCAGTAATATTATACATAGGTAGTTGAGGCTGCATTAGTAGTATGAGTACTGCTGTATTAATAATAATAATTGTAGAAGTAGAAGTAGATTTTGTAACATTAATTTTATTACTAATAGACAAAGAAGTATTAGTAGTTGTTGTTGTTGTTGTAGTAGTAGAAGAAGTAGTAGTAAATTGTATCAAGGAATAGCAGTAGGAGGCAGAGAAACAATAGGCAAAGTTTCTTTCACCCTATGCCCCTGTTACCTAGCAGTAAAATAGGTACCTGGGTGTTAGTCAGCTGTCACGGGCTGCTTCCTGCAGGGTGGAGGCCTGGTCGAGGACCGGGCCGCGGGGACACTAAAAAGCCCCGAAATCATCTCAAGATAACCTCAAGATAACCTCAAGATAACCTCAAGATAACCTCAAGATAACCTCAAGATAACCTCAAGATAACCTCAAGATAACCTCAAGATAACCTCAAGATAACCTCAAGATAACCTCAAGAGGTGGGCCTTTTAGTAAGAGGAATAAGAAGAAGCATTTTAAAACCATTTAAATTTAACTATTTAAAGAATTATTACTGCAGACAAACTTTGCAAGACTGTAGCCCCTCCAACACTGCTGCAACTCTGCTGTTGCAAATAATGAATTTACCCCATCAGAGAGAGCCAACGACAGCACATTACCCCCAACTTGGGGTAAAGGGGGAGGAGGGGGAGGGGGGTGATAGATAGATAGATAGATAGATAATTAACAGGGGAAAGCGCCAAGCCATTACGACTATGTAGCACTTGGAAGGGGTCAGGATAAGGATTTGGGATGGGACG